AAATTAGTAAAAAATATATGAATCTACGGCCGAAATTTTGCTCCACCCCATCTACTTTCGTTAATTATTTTTTTTGGAAAATGCACAATTCAAAACATTGGTATGAATGACTTTTGTAATTTGAGGAATAAATAGCAACATATTTGAATCTGCGTGATCCGATTTTATATACAGGGCATTGTTTTCGATGGACATCTGCAACCGTACCAGTTGATGTCGGTGGTGATTTACTGTATTGAAACGTCATGGTGGCTGGAAATCCAATTCAGTGGCGAAAGGCTACATCGAAAATTCGGTTCAGAATAAAATCAGCATTATTAAAATAATATAGAACTCAATTAAGACTAGCAATAATGAAATAAATGTAAATATTCCTTTCACATCCAGATCAGTGGGACCTGGAATTAACTTTTCAAACTGCACATTAAATAATCTTAATATTTACACAAAAAGTCGGAATAATTACAATTATTGTGTTTAATAAAATATTAATAGAATGTTTATAGTTTTCCTATATCCATGGTAATAACCGAGGTAATGCCATTATTCACAGTCCACAGGGAAATAGCATGGTAACTGCAGTTGCTAAGAGGCCCACTAGCAATTTTAAAATCGATTTCTGCAACATAAGAGGACTCAACTTGAATATAAACTCAGTTTACCAACATCTGCAATCAAATAGTCCTCATATTCTTGCACTCACAGAAACCAAAGTCAGTGCTTCAACAAACCATGTCAATTTTCTATATCCCGGCTATGATTTCCACTCTCGATTCAGACATAACTTTGGAATATCTCTTTTTATTAGAAGCGATCTCTTCTGTCAACGAAAGCAAATGCAGGAACCCCGAAACTTAGATGTTATGTAGCTCAAAATAATGTCGCAGAAGATCACCAAATTCATATGTTGCGTTTATCGACCAATACACAATATAAGGAACTATTCACTTCACTTGCAAACACTATTGACTTTCTGCAAATCAATCATCCCAGTGCCGCAATTTCCATATTCGGTGACTTCAATGTCCACAATATAGAATGGCTCCAATTCTAATATAAACGACGAACAAGGACGCGAAGCTGAGGCTTCTGCAATAACCAGCGGACTTACTCAGATTATAAATGAGCCAACCAGGATTCCTGACCGTGATGGAGAATATGCTAATCTTCTGGATCTAAACCTAATAACCAATTCAGAAACTCATCGCAAACTCAATTCAGTGTTGAGTAAATTAACGATAAAGATAAGGTGAATGAGAGGATCTTCAAGACCATTTGCGAAATTTCCCCTGGCTAAATGTTTGTTTCAGCTCTAAAGATCCATCAACTTGCGCTTCTAAAGTCACGGAAATGACCTTCTTACGGCAAACCTTGGTTCAACAAAAATTGCGTCGTCCCTAAAAATCTCGCCTATCAGCAGTGGCGCAAAAATTCCAGTGCCGAAAACCGAACTTAGTATAAATGAAACCAAAGAACTTCAAAATCAGAGAATTAGGGATAAACTGCTTGCCAATCTCAACAGGTCTAGATCCTTCTGGTCGGTAACTAAAGCAGAACTTTACCAAATTCATAATTCCACCACTAACACAAGCGGAAGGTTCAATTGCAACAACAGCCGTAGAAAAAGCAAATCTACTAGCTGATCAATTTGCGTCCCACTCTACAGTTGATTTTCTGGGAAAGGCACCACCCACTTTCCCCGCACTAGAATCCACAATGCCAGAAATTACTTTTAGACAGCGTCCAGTCAGGAGAATTTTGAAACAGCTAAATATCAACGAGGCATCTGGTACTGATGAAGTGCCTGATGAACCAGAAAACGGTACACATCTCAGCAACTTTTGATGCTTTATGAAGCTCACATCAGACCTTCTTTGGAGTATTGTTCTCATGTATGGAGCTCCGCCCCCAAACATACCCTTAAACTGCTGGATTCTGTCCAGAAAAAAGTTATCCGCCTGATTGGAGACGCGAACATCACTTGCAACCTTGATAGTGTGGAACATCGAAGAAAGGTTGGAGATCTGTCTCTCTTCTATAGATACTTTCACGGGAAGTGTTCAAACATTTGATCCAACCAAGATCGTTACATATCAGAAATACGTGACAGACTGTGGCTGTTCAAGAACTCTTTCATTGGAGAACGGCGTTTATGTGGAATAAACTTCCAGATAATGTTTTTCCAAATGGATTTAATCTCCAGCGATTCAAATCCAATGTGAATCACTACTTTCGCACAGACACCGCTCTAAGAGCACCTTAAGGACTTTCCTGCAGTGATTGTGTTTTCTCCTTAAAAAAAACACTACTTCAGTTTATATTCGAACGTTTGTCATACATTTTGGAGCACAGCGACACCTAAACCTGTCGTTTGAATGATTACACATATTGTGTATGTCACATAGAGAAGCACCAACTTGTTGAAACATATTTTCCTCATCAATGTATGCAACTAGTTGTCAGAAGGAGAAAAAAAACTCTGAGAGGTTTGCGTGTGTCCCGCATGAACGACAATTATGACGAAACTGTTCGAAAAGACAGTATACTCGTACTAAAAACTCGCATGCATTCACCCAATCATATACGGATTCAACCTTTTTCAATATCCGCCGAGCATCTGTTGATTCATTGTTGACCATTTTTCTTGTAAGTACTAAACGCGTTAAAATTTGTACCCCTAATGCAATTCTGTTACCCTTAATATAGATTATTGATTTACCGAATTTACAGCCTGCTTTTTTATGTGAATATTTGACACCAATTCACGTTTTGTCAAAAAGATATATATCAGTCATTATTTACAAAATAAATTCGTAATTGATTATCCCATGACTGAAGAGTTAGAGAAGTTTTGAATTTTTGAACACTTCACCCCAATTCGCTCAATTTTAAACAAAAACGTAATACTCGTCGAACGACGAAAACTGCTAATTATTGGGAAGGAATTTATTCTTATCAATAAAAAACGGCGGAGGAGAACTGTTTAATTCTAGCTGATAATTTGGCAGTTGTTCTGAGCACAAGCCTCCATTCGCATAAAACAAAGCGAGTTAGTTTTCTGTGACGCTAATTCTTGTATTTCGAAGTTGGCTGGAATTAGTTAATAGCTTTTCTCTGCATTTTTCTAGAAATAATGGCAATAACAATATCTACATTTGTTTAATGAAACGTTTTTTTTAATTAGGGTTAGATTAGGTTAGCTCCAAAGTGAGTGGGTCTTTTCGACCCTCCACCGCAACCCACAATGGTTTATTGTGGCTCACACCTACTCACACTCGACCAAATAAACCCAGCTTCTCAACGAATCCGATGAGTTTGTATGGTGAGTGGTCTTTTAGGTCAGATGGTAAGAGTACGGCTCTTCCAAACTCTAAAATCCTGATTCGGTCCCCAGTTGGGTAGGCACAAAGTATGTGCTCTGCTGTTCCATCATAATTTTTTTAATTGCTTTCTATGAAATGAATATTCAATATACTGTATTGTATCAAGTTTGCTAATGCTCGCAACACATACAAATTGAAAATATATTGAAGTGAATAACTCTTTGAAACCAGAATATTAAGAATGAACTACTTTCTACTTTTAATGATTCCAGATCATCAGGACAGTGGTTAAAACCGTTATGCAAAGTTTCATCACCAATAGTTGACAATACTAGCAAGCAAAGAAGACAGTAATTTACTGCCTGAACAATTTGTATGGCACTCTGCAGGAAAACTGAAACCCACCCTTCCCACTGTTCAATACACAATACCAGATATTATTTTTTAAACGTATTATTAGATGAATATGTCTCGGTATTCTGTTTCTGGTTCTCATGGAGTTCCTCTCATTAATTAAAATATTGGCCTGTAAACTTGCACCGTTACTCTTTAGGCTCTCACAAAAAGCGGATTTTTCCTTGTTGTTGCCAAACTGCTCAAGTTCAACTTATATCTAGGAAAAGATGTGTTAAGGAAAGTATATGTGAAATAAACTGTTAATCGATACTTACATGAATGCTTGGAATGTAGGTACTGTCTTAAGCGATCAACAATATGATTTCCGGAAGTAAAGATCAAGACATATTTCACCCACATTTAGGCTGTTAATATTCCTAGGACCTTTGATCGTGCCTGAACTAGGGTTTGATGAAACTCGAGTTTTACCAAACCTTCTGATTTTATGGCTTGTAAAATTGTGTTTAGGTTCGGTATGAAAAAAACTGAGTGAATTAATGCTATGAAATTCTCAAAGAAGTTGAATGTGGCGAAACTGGACATTACAATGTCACGCACATATTTTGTTTCCCTTCCAATCGAAAAGTTGAAAAATCATATGGTTCAATTGGAAAAATATTTCTTGGATTTATACTTTTCCATTAAAATATATAGAAAGGGGGGAAAATGTTTCAAAGTTCCTTGTTGCTGGATTTCGAATTACTCGAAAATTACTTTCCCTTTCTCAATTTTCACAACATTTGTAATGGAAACTGAAACGAATATCATTTATGAGGAATGTAAACAACATAATACGCTTTGATTAGAAGCTTGAAATGAAGGAGTGAAGTTTTAAAAAATGTCACTGTTAAAAATTTAAATATCATTGCATTCGACTATTTTTTATTCACTAAAATACATATGCGGCAATGTTACGTCATATATTATTACTCTTCATATTCGGTGGGCTCAGTGGCGTAGCGTGCCTTGGCGGGGCACCGTATAAAAACTTATTTGGGGTCCCTCAGGAAGGGTTAATATTTCCCAAAAAAAAAATCATAAAATTACAAGAAATATTCATTCATCATACATAATAGGCGTGTCTCCTAACCTTGAATTTAATAACATACTGACTTTCATAATTTGTCAAAATCATTTATTTTTATTAAAATCGAGTGTAATTACTATGGAATACAATCATCGGAAACTCAATCGCTATCGCAAAAATATTAATAGTAATCCCCCAGGTAGATGAGATAAATGGGTTGGATAGTAACATTTTTGCTTATGGATAATACTAACCTTTGCAATCACTTACAGAAGGTGTCTGAAAAAATGAAGAAATTTTGGGCACTTTTTTTATGACCTCCTCCCTTTTCTGTTTATTTTTTCTTTTCGTAGCTCCGCTGGGATAATCTCTTTTGCTTTCACTCATTGTTTTTCATAAATCTCTACTAACACTATTTAATCAGGAGAATTGTATTGTATTACAAAGTAATGCACAATTAAATTAAACACTTCAATAAACACTACTCTCCGTAGTTCGTATGCAGATTAGACGTATTATTTTACGGGGGCATCCCCTTTGAAGTATATGACGAAACGGGGAATCCCGCAGCCAACGATAATAACCGGTGTAGTGTAGAGTGTTGCCAACTTTTAAATGGAAAAAAACAATTTGTTTGTTTTCAATCTTGTCATTTCAGAAGTAAAATAAAATTGGGAAGTTTTTATTAATTTTTGTTTACGCAAGTTGGGGGCCCGGTTGGTTTGGGGGCCCCGTATAATTGATACGGCTGATACGGCGGTAGCTACGCCTCTGGGTGGGCTGATCTATTCTGAACAACTAATGTATTATATTTGATAGCACATTGAAAAAAATGCATCAAACAAAAGCCCGTGAAGTTGAAAACCAGAACGCGAACAACAAAAACACAATACATTAATGATATTATCAGTGATGCCTCTCCCCGTGGTTGAGTGCTCTGAGATTTTAGCTTCTGCACACTGCTACTGGAATTTTGTCAATTAAACTCAATATTCCTCTTGAAGATGATCAATTGGCGATCGAAACACGTGTCGAGGTGTTGAAATAATGGTTTGATGTTGGGAAAAAACTTCAGTAATATTCCTTCAATGTAAAGTCATTGTTATAGCAATACAGTGAAGTGAATTACTAATTGATGTAGAAAACCTAAGCCGGTTCAATATCAGATGATTATTATTTCTTTTGTTGTAGCCATGTGACTCAAAAGGAGATTGAAATTTTGCAATATTCCTGTGAATTCGTGAAAGAGACTCATAGATATATACAGAAAACTTTGTTATGACTTTCACTTCACTTTACAAATTCTGCAGGAATTGCGAAAACAAACACTGGCAATTATTCTCAGATATAGGTTTTTTGGCACTTGAAAATTTTAGAAGATAGGCTGGAGTTACCCGAAAGCCTTGTGGTGAAAGGCTTTGAGGTATGTAATAGAGAAAAATAGGCTGTTGTTGATGGAGTTGTATTGGGTGCTTCAAGATTCTACCTATGTACAGTTGTATATCAACCAGGATTTCCAAATCAGCTTCGACAGTTCTAGAGTCCATAAGCTCAAGTTTGGACAGTTCTAGAGCCCATAAGCTCAAGTTTAATTCGAAGAAATTTGCAATAAGATGTTAGGATCTAAAAGGAATAGGAAGCTCACCAGTACTTTACCCTCACCTATCTGGATCAAATTTCGTATAAGGTCATGAGGCAACTGTTTTCTACTCGAGATCTACTCAACACTAAGTCAAAACTTAGATTATGTGAGTCCTCGTGTCAAAAATTTCTTACTGTAACATCATTTTCGAACTTGCTTCAAGACAATCGGTTGCTTCTCGTCTTTAGCGTACGGCATGAATATATATCCTCAGCTATGTAAGAATCAGGATGGTTGAAAGTTGGGAAACTCAGAACATTGCACTCAACATTGAGTGCTCAGAACATTGCTCACTAATACCCACAAAATCTTGATAACTCGTTAGCCTGATTATTTACTACAAAAGCTCAAAACATTTACCTGAATTAATAGTTTCACCACACCGGAACGATTTGGTTTTAGTCATTCCTAATCAAAAATTCTCTATCTTTACTCGCTGCTTCTTGTTTGATACACCCAAATATTATAATCAACTACCCTGTGAGATTCGATCTTACACAATAAACAAATTTTAAAAAAGACTGAAGAGATATTTATTTAATTGGATTCTTGTCCGTTCTCGACTTCGGCTAAACCCAATAGGAATTTTTACTCAACTTACTCATTTTCTTTTGCTAGCATTCAATGTCTCTAATTTTATGGATCCTGTTATTATATTATTACTTTCTTTTCTTTCGATCTTTTTGTTTCTCTATTATTACAATTAATGTTTATTTTAGTTTATTTTGGTTTGTTCTAGTGAATGAAGACGTATTATTATCACTATTGACATTTTAATATTCTATACGTTAAAAAAATTGTCGAAAGATATCCGCCCTATCAACCTGGAAATAGTGAACAAGATCCTACAATCCTTCGTCATTAGATTGAAAAAAAAATCATTTACCTATCCAATTAATCAACTTTTTAATGATAATGGTTTTCTATTTTCAGTTATTTATAAGTATGTTATTTTTTTTATTTATTATCCTTATAGATTTTATTATTTCATAACGTGTTAGGAATCACACGTTAAAAGGTAAGACCTCGTTAATCCTTAGCTTAGCGCAAGTTTCGACTTCTGAGGGTTGTCGTTCGTAGGGGTGCGACAGCTGGTTAACGAAAAAACAGACAGACAGACAGATATCGGTTTAGCTGATTTTGATAAACTCGTCTATCAATTGTGTTATCGCAAGGAGTTCTTTGCCAATTATTAAATTTGTTGATGCCAGTCCTCAAGAATGGTGGGGGGGCAGGATGAAAATGGCAATTTTAAAATTTTAAAATTGAAATATTACATATCCAATAATACTTCTGAAATATTTATGCCACCGTTTTTATAGAATCATCCTATTATTTTTGAGAAGCACTCTTTAGTTACATTCAAAATTGTCTTTCGTCTCAAATAAAGAAATGAAAAATAATGAAATTCTTTTGAATTGCAAAAATCACTCACCGGAAAATGAAAAACGGTCCTTTCCTAACACAAAAATTATCCACCAATCTGTCAACGGATAAGAGGAACACTCTGTACCACCTCGACCCGACACTGATGAAAGTCAGAGTGACACTATCCTCAATCACTTAAATATGAAAACTTTTAGGCATTCCCGCTTTGGAAGAAAGTTCGGAGCCACACTTGGTTAACGCATCCACTTGTTGCTTTTGGGGTGGTGGAGTTGCTCGAAACTAGATTCTCCCACCTGTGGAGGCATTCCCTCCTACTCATTTCGGGAATTTGGAGGGAAAATCCTAGAAGGGAATTACGAAGAACCGCGTTTACGAATCCTTCCGGAAAGATAGGCGTTTCTCGTGAAATACCGGAGCGCAGTTGTAGGCAGATCTATGCGAAATAAATTGATGGATGTAGCCGTTACTACGTGGTAGGAAATCATAATGAAGAAAAGAAAAATGAAAAATTTCTATGTTTTTTACCACTTTCTTTTGTAACTAACGTTGCTGCAGATTTGTCCTATACGGACATTTTCAAACTTATACAATAAACTTATTGTAACGTTTGTTTGAAGGTGATTGACGATGTTTCATGATGAATCTCACTAGTTTGGACTTCCATTGTCTAATATATAAAATGATTTGAAATCCCTGAGACACCTTAAAGAGAAGAATTAAAAAATGAATAGGTGAAAATAAAAATTAAATCAAGCAAAAACCTGAAATGAAATAACAGTGAAATAAAATACAAGTAAAAATAGAACAATTGAACAAAAATTAAATAAAAATAAAGAAATGAAAAAAGAAAATAAAAATACAAAGTTAAGAGATTCCACGCCACGTTAGTTCACGACGTTTCGATTGTTGGTATCTACAATCGAGTTCAGTATTCCCATGGTTCCATATTTCATTTTCATGAGATCATACACAGAGAGGAACATTGGTTAAGGAGAAAATTCAAGGAAGCCGCATACATGTTGTCCAACAACGTATTCAGTCAAGCTAGCGTAGAGATACGCAACGTATGGAAACGGTCATCTCCCACTAAACCAGTGAAGCGGAAAATGGAAAGCGGGGATAAGTGAAAATTCTCGAACGACCCATAAATAGTCATCTCTCGGAGAAATCAGTCCAGTCATCACCCGAAGACGATTGTAGATACCAACAATCGAAACGTTGTGAACTAACGTGGTTTGGAATCTCTTAACTTTGTATTTTTATTTTCTTTTTTCATTTCTTTATTTTCATTTAACCTTTGTTCTATTTTTACTTGTATTTTATTTCACTGTTATTTCATTTCAGGTTTTTGCTTAGTATAATTTTTATTTTCAGCTATTGATTTTTTAATTCTTCTCTTTTAGGTGCCTCAGGGATTTCGAATTATTTTATATATCAGACAATGGAAGTCCGAACTAGTGAACTTTATTGTAACTGCAGTAACGCTAGTTACAAATAAAAGTGGTAAAAACATGAACTTATTGTATAAGTTTGAAAATGTCCGAATAGGACGAAACTGCAGTAACGTTAGTTACAAATAAAAGTGGTAAAAAACATAGAAAATTCTTCATTTTTTTTTCTTCTCTATGCGAAAGTTATTTTCGTATTTAGAAAAAAGAAGACAATAATAATAATAACATTCATCTATCAATCTATGTGAAATACAATTGTAGAAAATTTATATTGGAATGATTGAAGAAATACACCTGTGCTGAAAACTCCTGGGCCCAAGAAAGAAACCGCGTTTTTTTTTCGCGTTTAAAATTGGCTTTACTCATCAACGTAATCTCTATCAAGAGCCACACAATTATTCCAGCGCCGGGCTAATATTTCAAAAATACTTTTGAAGAACGACTCATCTTTTGCCTTAAAAAAGGCCTCAGTTTCAGCAATAACCTTTTCATTTGCAGATACAATTAGCAATAAAAAAAAATAGAATGTGGGAATCCACAAGGTACGGTACTGGGTCCTCTGCATTTCAATTTGTATCTAAATGGATTATTCAATTTGGACAGTGTTGGGAAAACAATTGGATACGCAGACGATACTGCAATATTCTATGAGGCAGACACTTGGCTTGATTTGAAAAAGAACGTAGAAACAGATTTCCACTTGCTCAAAAAATGGTTTGGCCAAAGGCTGACAGTGAATCTGAAAAAAACTAATTTTCTTCCTTTTAGCAGCAATCTATCTAGTGATTGTCCTTTTAAAACTCTTGACGGCGAACAAGGAAAAACACTAAAAATAGATTCTCTTAGAGAAATCAAATACTTGAGCGTCGACATAGAAGAAACTTAAGGTGGGACTCTCATATAACATATATAATGAAAACACTGCAAACAATGCTTCACAACTTCCATTCCTTGAGAAATTACTTACCTCACAAAGAACTTAAACAATTATATAGTTTCCTAGTGGAGAGTCA